ATCTCAATGTAACTCAAAGTTTTTGAAAAAGTTACCATGCCATACTATGCTAGAGCAAACACAGCCATACCTTGATCATTATTTAAATACTCCTGATTAAAGTTTCAGAGAAAAGTCCCAATGAATGCCACGGATTTGAGAAAGCATTATTCTCGTACTTGAAATGACTTCTGGATCCACACATATAATAACGATGCACATCTTATGAACCTTCTTTTTTCATTTCATCGACAGAAATTCAATGACCCGATGGTTTCAGCTAGGACTGCTGAAGCAGGATTAATTGCTTGAGTTTCAATTTGCTCTAAAAAGTCTACCACAGTTATCTCAATGTAACCCAAAGTTTTTGAAAAGATTACAATGCCATACTATGCTAGAGCAAACACAGCCATACCTTGATCATTATTTAAATACTCCTGATTAAAGTTTCAGAGAAAGTCCCTAATGAATGTCGAGATGTTCACCTTTAGACTTCGCGAAAGAATCAATGGTTTTCACTTTAACCCTCATAAGCTTGGCCAACTTTTTATGATAACTTGATTTTGGCTTTCAGATGAATACTTTATCTGGACACTGTAGTTTTATCCCAAGTAAAATCGAATACTCCTCGATAGTTGGCACTAAATCCTCTTGATTAAAAGTGAAGCATCTATAGGATGGATCCAAAACTGTATAGCTGCTCTAATCAACTGTTCATCAATCACTATCGAAATGAGAGATGCAATATGCCTGTACTTCTTGCAAAAGCTTTCTTTTCTTTCTTTATTTAACTGACCCTAATGGTGACTAAGTCTTCTAAATCATTCTGTGTGAGATCTAAATATACTTTTTCAGGTAATTCAAACATATAACCGGTAGGCAAACAATCTTCACTCTTTTGTTGGGCTTCTTTTGACCAAACATATACTTTATTATACGGCTCACATGAGACACTAACTGAGGATGAGCAAATCTGTAGTTTTATGGGATCTATGAAAACTTCTTAAGAGAAATATGTCATGGAGCAAATATCTCAATGCAGAACTGTATGATATGATTAATGCAAAAAAAAAAATGAAACAAAATTGAGTTAGTGTGAGAATGTGGTTTGAGAAAAAAATATTTTTTATTTTTTAGTTTTGAGATTTTTTTGTTTTATTTTGTTTTGTATTATACACAACTTTTATTCTTAGGTATTTCTTACAAGAAGGTGGATGAGGCTCTACCTAAGGCTGATTTCTTAGGCTTATTACATGCTGAGTTTGGATTGACACGGTTTAAAGGTTTTCAAATAGCTCTTCACTATAGTCCATGTTAAACTAGTAAGGCATCCCTGATCATCACCTATTATAGCTTACGAACAAAAAGGGTTCAATTTGAGTGAAGTATTTCACTTGCTATTGCGGAGATTATCACCTCACGAGGGCATAGGTACTCTACTTCTTCCTATAAAAGATAGAGCCCGGAGATAGAGCTCATGAATGAGATGCATCGTGTCATTGTGTGTGCAAATATATCCTAATTTATTGAGAGTAACATATACAAAAAAAAAGCATAAGAGGCATAGTAAAAAAAAAATGTGAGGGAAATTTTTTTCTTTTTGTTTTCGATTTTTTTTTACCTTTTTTGTTAAAAGTGAAAAAAAAATCTAAGAAACCGATTAGGACTATTTAAATCAAAATTTGAGGATAACACATAGTTAATTTTGGTCTGATTCTCGAAAACAAAAAGACATCCCCAATGGAGTCACCAAGCTGTCGTAACAGTTTTGTGTCTGCCCGACGAATTTAAAAACGAAAATAAAAGAACGAAAAACGGAACTGCCACCAATCTTTTTTGGCTAAGTGTGTTTGGCCACCTATCAAAACATATCCTTTTAATGAAATCTCAAAATTAATTAAAATTTATTAAAAAGATAATTTTAGGGTCTGCGTAATAATCTGGGTTCGAGAGTCGGTTATGTGTGGGGAAGGATTAGCACCCCCATAACGTTCGTTTAAAATGATACTAATTAACTACGTGTTATCCTTTGATTTTGATGAAAAACAGTCCTATTTTCGGTGTTTTAAAAAAATAACTTTCTTAATTATTCATTTATTGAAAATTGGTTTTTATTTTTTTTTAATTTAAAAAAAATTATTCGAGAAAATAAATTTGAACCTTTTTATTGAAATAATTCTTAAAATATTCCAGTACGTTAATAATATTAGAAGAACTTTTTCTCACGTAGAGATTTATTAAGTATCGTTTCTCGGAATACTTTAAAATTTCATCTTTTGAGCTCAAATTTATTTTTCGTAAAAATTATGTCATGCATGCAATGCAGAATATTATCATGTTGATGCACATATTTTGTTTTGTTTTTAATTTTATTAATTAATTTTATTTGATTTTTTATTTAAACTTTGAAGAAAAAAATTTTTTTATTATATTGAAGATTTTTCATAAATATTCTAATACACTCGTAATATTTTAAAAAAATCTTTTCATTTAGGGATTTCGTAAAACATCACTACTTGGAATACTTTTAAAATACTTTTGAAATCCCATCATTGGGTAAAATTTCTTTTTTCTCAATTTTATTGCTTTATTTTAGTTTTTAATTAATTTATTTATTATTAACAAAAAGAAATTTTTATTATATTGAAAATTTTTTGTAAATACTCCAATATACTGGTAGTATTTTAAAAAAATCTTCTCACCTAAAGATTTCGTAGGCATTACTACTCGGAATACCTCTGAATCTCATCGTCGGATAAAAATTTCTTTTTTCTTATTTTTTATTATTTTATAAGATTTATTTTAAAAATAACAAAATTATCACAAATTTTTATTATATATTTTATTATTTATTATTTATTTGTTAATATTATAAAACAATAAAAATTTATTCTAGCAAATTTAAACATTTTAACATGCATAAATATCAATAACAATATTTAAAAAAATAATATTTAAAAATTTTTAAAAATTCAAAAAAAAAATTTTTACCTGAATCGGACCGGTCAACGGTTCGGTCAACGCGCGATTCAATCCGACAGTTCGGTCGCGTTCAGCAGTTCGATTTGGCGGTTCGATAGCGTTCAACGATTTTATTCCGGTTTAGTCGAACCGATCAAAGGCTAATGGAGAAGTGGGTTACGGGTCGAGTACGCGGACCCCAGGTCGGGTCATGGGTTGACGCGCAGATCATAGGTGCTTAAAATGGTGTCGGTTTGGACGTTTATTAAAATGGCGTCGTTTTAGCTTTGATAGTTTCTATAAAAGCCAAAAAAAAAAAAAAATTTTCATTTTCTCTTCTCCTCCTCTCTCTCTACCCGATCGGGGTCAATGACCATCAGTCGTGATAGCCGTTGTGATCCTCGTTTGTGGCGAGCTCCGACCACTGTCGTCGGTGTCGAAAAATTTTTAAAAATACCCACGAACTCGTCTTGACCCCTGAACATAGATCTAACCTTTTTTTCACCAAAAAGCGACCCAAATGGCCTAGATCTGCTCTTGAAGTTTCGGTTAAAACCTTTTCTCTCTTTTTTTATTATTTTTTTGTATTCTGACTTGATTTTTTTTTGGCGATGGGTTCCCCATTCTAGGGGATTGTTTTGGATTTTTTTTTTTGTATTATTTTTCTGGCAGAAAGCTTTTTGTAGGTTTTCTTTTTTTTTTTCTTTTTTTTCTGGTTCGACCAGGAGCTCTATTTATGAGCTCCGACAATGCCTTATGCTTGAGAGAGTGGCACAGAGCACGGCATGGAAGCGCAAGCACGAGTCCCATGACCCTTTTATTGTTTTTGTCTGATTCGACAGTGATAAGAACTTAAGCGAAGGTAATGGTATGAGTGGTAGGGTATGATGATCAGAAAGGTGAGGGGTAGCACATGGTGGTAATGGTGCCAAATCGTCTCTTTTTTTTGTTTTTTTCTATTCTCTTTTTCTTATTTTGTATTCTTTGTATTCTGTATTTTTATTTAATTTTTATTATTGTATTTAATAATATTATTATTATCTTATTTATTATTTAATAAAAATAACAAATTTGATCAAGACCGAATAAATTTGATGTCTACAATAAAGTAGCACAAAATATGAAAAAAGTAGAAGAAGAATTTAGCTATTATAAAAGAATGATGGAATGTTGAAAACACCAATATACTCTAAGGATTCTGAACTTCAACTAAAATATTTTAAAAATGTTACAAGAATTTTATGAAAATCATCATAAAATTTTTTTTTTAAAATGTTATTATCACTATATGATAAATAATGAAACAACTAATAAAAGTTGCGATGATTAAAATGAAGATATAAAAGCAGGCGAAACAAATCCAATAACCGGTAATAAAAAACAAAAAACAAAAAATAAAGCAGTGATGAATTCTCTTCTTCAAAAAACCTCTATAAGAAAGATAAAAAGAAAAGATATATACGCATGATCCTACCGACATGGATTGTGCAGTAAATAGAGTTCATTCCTTCTAATAAATAGTTTTTTATTATTTGAGGTGAAACCTAATGATAATTTTCTCTTTAACAATTATTAAGTTTTCATTCCTTTTAATAGATAGTTTTTTCTATTGCAGCATGCACCGCATTTTTGGCGTTTGGCCGAATTATGAAATTCCCTCATTTATGTTAGTTATGAAGAAAAGGAGCGTAATAAAAGAACCATTTTGAAGAATGAAGTGATAATCATGCTATGGAATGGAGCGCACGAGTTCCTAATGTTGTGGTCACCTCGAGTAACCTTCAGGCTTCTTTACTACAAGTTTCTGACCTCAGAGCAATAACCACCATCACTATGTAATGTTCTATTATTAACTCCATTGAGATTATTCACCTAAGCCAACTCTATCAAAAATCAAAACTCCTAAACATGTATAATATAACCATCCCGCATAGTCCAAACACAACTAAAAGCAAAAGCCATTTCCAATGGAAAACAAGAGGCAAGATTTAATTGTTCGTTCTTCTCATGACCCCCCACACACATAAAATCAGTCCTTTATGGATCTCTAAAACAAGGAATGAATATAAAGCAGCTCATTCCATGATATTTAATGTCAAATATTACATTAAATAAAATCATCCAAACATTATCTTTTGGCATAAAAAGGGAAACAAAATCTGGCGCCACAGGACAGAATAGAATCTTCACTTCAACACTAATATGGGAAAAACACAAACTAAAGAAACCCTACAACCACTCATTTAACCTTAGGATAGTTTTGTGCAAAAGAGTGCCATATTTGGCAAAAGTCTTCTAATTAACTAAAACTAGATAAGGCCGTAAAGTAAAAGTGAGGCACATTTAAGAATCTGCTATGGTTACCTCCACCTCAACACCAGGTTCAATAGTGATTGAAGTGATCTGCTTGACCACATCAGGGGAGCTGAAGAGGTCGATAACTCGCTTGTGAACACGGAGTTCAAATCGATCCCATGTGTTTGTTCCTAAAAAGCGCACAAATATTTTAGTAAATTGTCCAAACAAATTACTCTCGTCACATCAAACTACTAGAAAAAAGGAAATTCAGAATTGGTTATGAACAAAGTACGGATTTAAAACATGCTTTCAAGATAACAAACAAACAGTCTGAATAAAAGAAATCGAGTAACATAAACTGTGCACAATATCATCAGAGCCGGCGAGATGCAAGGTAAGTTAATACCTTCACCACAGGGAGACTTCCTTGTGGTGATGTGAAGAACCTTGGTGGGCATTCTCACTGGTCCCTTAACCCTCAGTCTCTTATCCTTGGCACCACGGACCAAATCAGCACAAACTATCAATCAAACAGAAATACATTATACAAACTAATAATAAGTGTGTCAATTAAATCCATATCACCAATCAAACAAAATAATTATCTCATGAGAAACATCCTATATGAATTTACACCAAGAAACATGAAATTCGATAACAAAATTATAGGGACAATAACATAATAAATGAAACTTTAATAGTTTCAGCATACAAAAAATTATACCCTTCTCGAGGTTTTTCACATTCTTCGAAGAGAGAGTGATCCTGATCTTGTGAATCTGCTCCTGGGGCTCCTCCAAACCAGGTTTGGTCGGCTTCATTGCAGCATACGCCATTTTTCTCAACTATTTTAACTGGAATTGAAAAAGTTATTGGAATTGAGAGATATAGCACAATTATTTTTACAGCAGCACAGAGGGTGTGTAATTTGGAGAATTAATGGCGCAACATATAAAGCAGCATTTATTTGGAATGAAAGAAGGCATAAGCAAGTAAAAGTAGACTGGCACAAGTTAATTTGGTCTCAGCTCAATCTTCCTAGACATGCAATTCTATTATCTTATAGATGGCCATTTTCGATAGATTACCAACCAAAAGCAGGATCAGCCCCTGCAGAAAATTGCAATCAGTGAACTGTTCATTTTGCAATACAGAAGTGGAGGCTAGAGATCAAATCTTCATAGCTAGTTACCAAGCAAGTACGGGAGAAATTAGTGCTAGTTGCTTGTGGCATTAGCAAGGGAATTCGGACTGGAATTCAAAATTTACATGGACTAGAGAAGAAACAGTTTAACATAAAAAAATTATTTAAAGCCAGCTTGGGGAAGATATTTGCACACAAGTATTTACAAAACTTGGAATAAATAAGGCCATTTCTAAAACAAGATATAGATTTCACTGGATTCATTCGTTCGTTTATATGCATTTCAATCGGTCTCAAGTCTGCGAATGCTTTGGAATGAGGATGTAAAAGCAACAGAAGTCTAATCCTCTTCCAATGATAAAATAAAACGACTCCAGTAAAAGGATATATTGCAGAAATGGAAAGGGTTTTACTCCAAAGATTAGTGGGTTTTAACTTGTTTGGTCGAAGATCAAGCATCAAAACAGACAAAAAAAAATGAAAGGAAACCATCCTACAGTAGAAAGGAAAAAAAGAAAACCCATAATAAAGAAAAATCAAATTCCCTATTCTAATGCAAGCTTTTTACATATAAAATATACGAAAAAAATATAGAAAGGGATAAGGAAACCTGGAAGAAGTGAGAGAAGGGAAGTGCGCAGCTGCGGCCTCTTCTGCCTCTTTTCTCAAGGAAAAAAGAAAGACAGGTTTGCAGAAGTTATATAGATGGGGCGCTGAATTTTATTATTAGGGTTAGGGTTTTTGCTGGACTAAACTGTTTAATGGGTCGGGTTCTAATATTTGATCCAGGATGACTTGAGTATAAAATTGGGGTTTGGGTCTTAAGAACTAGTTTGGGTTTTGACCCATTACTCAGAAACGGATCAGCAAAGCTTGAAACGTTTGACATTGGACGTGAAGCAAACTTGTTTCAAACAATTACTTTTCATTTTATTCTTTTTTTTTTTATTCAGTTATTAAAAGAAACTATGGTTATATATGATTCATATGTTCGTATCATATAAAATATTAAAATTTATATATTTTATTATATTTTATATAAAAATTATTATCATAATTTATATTGATATAAAAATAAAAATATATTTTTTATTTTATTAAATTCATATATAATTATTATTAAAATTTTAAATTATATTATTTTTATAATTTTTTGTATTATATTTTAGATCATCACATACAACAAAGAAATAGTCACTCATAAAATTTATTAAATTAGATTTTAAAAAATCATGTGAGTAAATACGTAAAATAATTCTCACTTTTAAATATATATATATATATATATTAAAACTTAGAAAGGAACTGTAACATCTGTGTCAAGAAATATACTTTATTAAGTTCATGTCGTGGAAAACATTTTGATTTTGTTACGATTGAAATTTTGGGTGAAACTTTAGTTTGCATTGAGCTAGTGCATGGTGCTAAAAGCCGAGAGCTTAGGGTAAGGGACCAGTGAGAATGCCAACAAAAGTTATCCGTATCACAACTAGAAATGCTCCTTGTGGTGAAGGTATATTGTATGAGATATTAGCTTTGCTTATTAAAGTTTGATTGATATGTTAATTATTATGAGACCTCGCACTTTATTGCGACTTTAAAGATTTTTAATTTATGAGGTAATTGAAGGGTGTAATTCTTTAAAATTGATAATAATAAATATAGTATAAAAATTAAAAAATTATTATTCTAAAATATATACATAGAGCTGCGATAAATAATAAAAAAATAAAAAAAATTATACGAATGTAACAAATAAATTAAGAGTTCATATATTTTAAATTTATTTAGATTATTTACTTTCATCGTGCTCTAACAAATACATTAAATTATATAAAAATATAAAAAACTTCGCATCCCGACATTTTAAGAAAATAAAATAGTTGTTAATTGTAAATTAATTGTAAAATACACTATTAAATTGCCACCCGTAAAAGAAAGAATAATCATTAAACATCCTACCATGCCTTTAATTTTTAGTGTAAGTTCAAAAACATGATTTTCTCCGACTTGTCAAACCAAACTCCTTTATTTTATGTAATCACCACTTTTCATTTTTTTCACTATTCTTTTTTCCTCAATTTGTGTTTCCCCTTTCCGATTTTAGATGCTTCCATTTTTTTAATCAATTCATAGTCATTAAAAACACTTTAATACTTTCAACAATATAAAAAATTTCAACCCTATTTTTAGGTAGGATATATGTCAAGAACCATTCTTTTAATAAAAATGTACAAATATATTTTTATTTTATATAAAAGTAATCTTTCAAGTTTTAATTGAAACTTTGGAAACTTATTTTATTTGGTCTTTTCTTTCATTGTTCTTTTAATTAAGAAAAAAAATATAAACCAATTGAAATCAATCGTGTAAAAATAAATAACTCTCGTGAGATTGTTTTTAATACATAGTATAAATTAAAAAAGTAAATAAAAAAGTTAAAAAAAAACCTTCTTTTTTCTTACATTTAAATCGGTCATCATTCCAAAAACAGTAACTATTATTTAGTTACGAGGTATTAAGAACCATGCATTCTCCTGTGGATCCACATAATTCCAAATCCAAATTCCTTCACATATATTTTATCCAGCACTTAAGCCCATAACAGATTCAATTCAAGAGAGTTGGGTAGCTGTTAATGTTTTAATTCCGTTGGGATTCTTTTAATACAGGTAATATAGATGAGAAGCTGTTAGTCATTAACTCAAAAATAAATATTATAGAGTACAGTTGTTAATTTCTAAAGTTTTTGGGATATTTTTTACCTATAGTTTATAGATTTTTTTTTAGAATACGAATAAAAGATAAAAAGAAAAGAAATAAAAGTAAATGAAAATATTAACAAAATGGAAATTTTATAAAATAAGTTTACATTTGATAACATGTTTATATTGAGTTTATTTTTATTTAGTAAATTTTTTTAAACTTTATAAGCAAAGATAAAAATTGTTACATATCTCAATATTTTTAATTATTTTTTATTTTTATTATATCTTAAGAATTTTGGATTATCTTGTTAATCTTACTTCTTGTGAAGTCTAAAAAAAAAATTTTACTATATGTGAATGTGATAATTTTTCATTTATATCAAATTTTTATAGAATTCTTATATATTCTATACATAGAATATATATATATATATATAGATATAGATATATATTCTCTATGTATAGGAACCAATACATTGGACAGATTTGAGCTGTGCATCCACAAGGGATAAATTGATTTGTATAGCACACCGGATGTGGTGAAGCAAGTCACTACAATTACTAAAGAGCTTGGCGTGAAAATTGATGTTAGTATTGCAGATATGAGTATCGCATGTGGCACTACTGTTCCATAATTTTTTTTTTTTCCGTTTTAAATTATTTGGGTGTTATTGATTTTTATGAAATTTTTTAAAAAAAGTTTGATTTTAATATATTTAATATTAATTTTTAATTTTTTTATAAAATTAAAATTCTATGATTTTTAATATTTAAAAATTAAAAAAATCATAAAAATAATTTTAAAATATACAAAAAGGTAAAAATTTTATATGTTCAAAAAATAGAACAATTTTGAAACATAAAAAAATGGATAAAAAAAATAGATCGAAAGGAGTAAGTCTTTTTAGCTGGGATTTTCAGATAAGTGGATGTTTTCTAATTGTTGAACTTTTATCACCTGAACTCAACCATGCCCTATTAATAGTATTTTGAGTCTTGATTAAAGCATGTATAGCATTGGTTGAATTTCGCATAGAATACAAGTATGACTTAGGGGCTCCAATTGGCTTGTAGTTTTTAAAATCTTCATTCTAGCAATTGAACCAAAACACAAAGCTATGTTTAGTACTTGAAACAATAAGTATTGTAATTAATTATGTATGCTATTGTCATATGTACATATCACTATATATAAATTTAAAAAATCATCATTAATTTTTTTTATTTAAGTGTGATTGATTATCTAACTAAATCTATCTTATTTTAAAAAAGAGTCATAAATTTAACTTAGGTATATTTTAATGTTATATTCTAATCTATGAAGTAAAATTTAGGTTCAAAAGTACAGTTATGTATAAAAAATGATATAGCACTCTCACCGCATCTATCTAAATGATGGTACCAGTTTGATTTTAAATTATTCAAATCTTAAAATATTTTTATAATTTGTCAAATAATTTAATTATTGAAAATTGATAATAAAATTACTCTAATAGTTTAATAGTAACTTAAGATAATTTTTTAGCTTAGGAGTGTTCATAGAAATTAGTTTCCACTTTGAAGAGGTTTTGTCGATAGATTTTGTTATAAAAAAATTTTATTTATAATAATGAAATTTAAAACTTTGGTATCGAAAATTCTTATCTAAATTTTTCAATATGTTGATAAAATTTAGAACGGATTTTCTCACTTAAGAATTTACATAAAGATTGTTATTTGCAATACTCTTAATAATTCTATCATCGAATATTCAAAATCTAATTTTTTTATAAAAATAATTTATTTTCAAAAATATCTTCTAATATATTGTAAAATTTTATGTTAAATATTATCCTCTAATATATTAGTAAGATTTTATGAAAACTATTTTTTTAAGAAAATTCGTTAAGCATTCTAATAATTTGATAAAATTTAATTCGAGATCTAAATCCTCAAAATACTTTGGTAGGATTAAAAAATAATTTTTTTACAAAATTTTATTATGAAATTCTCCAAATTTTCTTCAAATTTTTTTCTTATCACACTAATTCAATCAACAATTAAAATAATAAATATAAAAATAAAAATCAAACAAAAAATTAAAATTAAAATTAAAAGAAAAAGAAAAAATAAACAAAAAAAAAAGAAAAAACTTGCGAATTGAACGAGTACAAAATGGGTCAACACGTGGATGCAATTCGGGTCACATGTGGGTTAAAGGGTTTGCTAAAACGACATTGTTTGGTGATGAAATAAAACTCAAGCCCAAGCTTCTATTTTTAGTTTCCTTCTCTGGTTTTCCCTTTAGTTCAATTTTTGTTTTTGACTTCTCTCTAAAAGTTCAACTGGAGAACTAAGAACACAACCAAAATTTCAGACACCAACATTGAAAAATTCAAAAAGCTCCAAAAATTTCAACACAACCCATAAACCATCGTGAATTCCAAAACCCAACCACTGTGATTTTGGTCCAAAAATTCAAACACAACAAAAAATTTTAATAGAAATTCCTAGAAATTCTTTCAAAAACCTAGAAACTCAATCTAAACTCAAAAAAATCAAAATTTTCCTAAATTCAAAAATCTCAAGAATCCCAAACAAATTTAAAAAATTCAGGATCGAATTCAAACCCAAGAATCAAATCCAACAATCCCAAGAACTTTCAAAATTCAAACAAAATAGAAAACCCAAAAACCTTTCAACATATCCTGAAATCAAATTAAAATTCCCCAAGACCCAAAACTATTTTCAAAACACTAAGAATTGAATCCTAAAACCAATCTTAAGAACTTAAAAATTGAATACCTAGAAACCCAAAACCCAAAAATCCTAGAAACTCAAATAAGACCCTAAAAATCTAGAAACTCAAAACCTAGAAAATTTCAACGTTGTAATTGCTTTATGTCTGGTTCATTGCCCCCCTTTGCTTGATCGTGATTCTTTTATTTGTAGGGATTAAATCCTTTTTAATTTGGAAACTAAATCAACTCGATTATATGATTTCATTATGATTAATTCTATGAATTAATTTGTATG